CTGGTACTGTGGTCCTGGTGTTAGTGGTGTTGGTGCTGTGGTCCTGGTGTTAGTGTTGGTGGTACTGATGGCACCAGTGGTCCTGGTGTTAGTGGTGCTGGTACTGTGGTCCTGGTGTTTGTGGTGTTGGTGGTACTGGTGGTACCAGTGGTACTGGTGTTAGTGGTGTTGGTGCTGGTACTGTGGTCCTGGTGTTTGTGGTGTTGGTGGTACTGGTGGTACCAGTGGTCCTGGTGTTTGTGGTGTTGATGGTACTGGTGGTACCAGTGGTACTAGTGTTTGTGCTGGTACTGTGTTCCTGGTGTTAGTGGTTGTGGTGCTGTTACTGTGGTCCTGGTGTTAGTGGTATTGGTGGTACTGGTGTTACTGGTTTCAGTGCTGTTTGTGGTACTGGGGGTTCCAGTTGTACTGGTGGTAGCGATGCTAGTAATGGTACTGATAGTTCTGATGGTACTGGTGGTACCGGTGCTCTTTCTCCTCCTCAGGTCTGCTCTTTGAGAGCATGTCGACTCCTTTTTTTCCAGAATGCACCTCTGGACCTCTTCAGTTTGTCCATCATGTTCTGTTTCCTGCAGAGAAACAGAAGATGTTCTGAGTCCAGTCTGAGTTTAAACCATGTGTGTGTGTGTGTGTGTGTGTGTGTGTGTGTGTGTGTGTGTGTGTGCGCCCTTACAGTTTGTGTGTGTGTGTGTGTGTGTGTGTGTGTGTGTGTGTGGGTTTGTTTCTTGTGACATTTGGGGGCAATTTTAAGACAAAAATCCTACATTTGGGGACAAAAGTAGAGTCCCCATTTGGTTTAAATGCCATTGATGTGTTGGGGTTTCGGTTTAGGACCAAGGTGTGAATTGAGTTTAGGTTAGTTTTAGGCTTTGTGGTCAGGGTAAGGATATAAAATTACCAAAAATAATGAATGGACGTCAATGGATGGGCCCCACAAGGATATAAAACAAGTTTGTGTGTGTGTGTGTGTGTGTGTGTGTGTGTGTGCTTACAGAGTGTGTGTGTAAGTATGCGCTCACGCTGTGTGTGTGTGGTCGGAGCAGAAGCTGAAACACTCGATGTCCTGCGTGTCGGTGCAGAAGCAGCGCCGCAGATCCCTCCTGAGCCGAACCGGTCCGAACCCGTAAGGAACCACGTGACTGAAAAACAAACGTGTTGTTTATGTTTACATCTGCAGACAGGAAGAACATGCACAAAACAAATGTTAGCATTGATTAGCAACAAAGTAGCTAAAAGCCAAAACGCTGTAGTAAATTTAAAATTATTTGGTTTTAAAAAATAAAGTCAATATTTCAAAAAGGTTTAACTTGACATAACTTCTAAATTCTCAGCAGAAATGAGCCGAACGTTCGAATATATATTGACAGTTAAAGTAGGCGAAGGTCTGCAGAAAAGGAGAACAATCATGATGACAGGTCAAAGGTCAAACAGCAGCAGGAAGTGACTGCAGCATGAGGCCGAACATCGAGGCATCCATCTTGTTTCAATGATGAACAGGTTCGGAGCTTCATGTTGGGTTTTCTCAGCAGCACATCTGGATCTGATCTCCTGAACACAGCTGGAGAGAAAACACAACCGTTTCCCTCCTGTTGACCTCCGTGGTGTTCCTCTGCGGGCCGCAACTCCTCCTCCCCGTCTTTAAACGTCTCATCACCTCCTCTCGGGGTCACAGGGACAAATAAATCTGTGGGAGCTACAGAACTCCAAACCACCGGATCCTGAATGGATCCTCGGTTTCATGAGGGTTCGGGTGGATTTTGGTTCTGGAGGGTTCTGCTGCAGGACCGTGAGAAAAGCTGGACTGAAGCTCAAAGTTCCGGCTGAGATTAAATTAATATCCTCATATCATTTTTACATTTCTGTGGCACACTAAACCAGCTCTGACCTGGACACTTTTCCTTGTGTTTTTAAGCTCCGCCCCCCGCAGCGTTGAGTGGGAAAAGCCCCGCCCCCTGCTACCCACAGCATTGAGTGGTGGTGGTCTGTTTAAAACCGCTTTATGATGAAGGCAGGAAACTAAGTTTAGACTAAACCAACAATCTGAGGTGGTCGCAGCGCTGCTGAAGCTATTTTTGGATTTGCTCTGGAAACTATTTTGGTTTTGACTAAAAACCTCGACTTAATTAAAAATTCAAAGTTGACTCAGAAAAACTGACAGAACTCTGAGTCTCAGCATCCTCTCTAAAAATGTTTGCACACATTTTTCTGAACTGCTGCTAATTTAAAGACAGATATCAAATTTAAAAGAACTAAAGTTAAATAAATCTTACTTGAACCGATTCTTTCAGAGTTTTAATTATCAGACCTGGTTGTGGGTTCCTCAGGGTCCGACCATAATGACTCCTGAGGTCTCCCTGGTGGGTTGTCAATAAAGGGTTAAATGGGTTATTTTCTACAAACACAGAGAAATTACCATCCTGCTGTCTTATTAACTCCACCACGTCTAACTGCTCATCATTGTTGTGTTCTCTGGACTAAAACAGGATTAACTCCTGGAAAACTAAAAACATGTTCAAAACTGTTTGAATGTTTCTGTAAACCTAAACTGTAGACAGGTTCCCTCTTTTTAATCTCAGTTTTTCTTGGTTTATTCTTAATTTATTCTCAGTTTAATCTCAGTTTAGTCTGAAATTGTTCTTAGTTTATTCTAAATTTAATCTCAGTTTATTATCATATTGTTTTTAGTTTAATCTCAGTTTAGTCTCAGTTTACTCTCAGTTTCATCTCAGTTTTTCTTGGTTTATTCTCAATTCATTGTCTGTTCAATGTCAGTTTAATCTCAGTTTATTCTCAAATCATTCTCCGATTATTCCCATTTTAATCTCAGTTTAGTCTGAAATTGTTCTTAGTTTATTCTAAATTTAATCCCAGTTTATTCTCAAATTGTTCTTAGTTTAATCTCAGTTTATTCTCAGTTTATAATATGATGGTTCTTAATTTAATCTCAGGTTAGTCTCAGTTTATTCTCAGTTTATTATCAGATGGTTCTTAGTTTAATCTCAGGTTAGTCTAAGTATATTCTCAGTTTAAACTCAGTTTATTCTGTTTTATCGTTTTAATTTCAGTTTAGTTTAAATTGTTCTTAGTTTATTCTAAATGTGTTATCAGTTTACGGTCAGATTGTTCTTAGTTTAATCTCAGTTTAATCTCAGCTTAGTCTCAGTTTACTCTCAGTTTAATCTCAGGTTAGTCTCAGTTTACTCTCAGTTTAGTTTCAGGTTAGTCTCAGTTCACTATGTTTAATCCCAGTTTATGCTCAGATTGTTCTCAGATTATTTTCAGTTTAGTTTGAAATTTTTCTTAGTTTAATCGCAGTTTAAACTCAGGATAATCTCAGTTTACTCTTAGTTTATTCTCAGATTAGTCCCGGTTTACTTTCAGTTTAATCTCATTTTATTCTCAGATTTGTCTGAAATTGTTCTTAGTTTAATTTCAGTTTAATATCAGATTAGTCTCAGTTTACTTTCAGTTTCTCAGATTATTTTCAGTTTAGTCTGAAATTGTTCTTAGTTTAGTCTCAAACTAGTTTCAGTTTACTCTCAGTTTAATACCAGTTTAAACTCAAGTTAGTCTCAGTTTATTCTCAGTTTATTATCAGATGGTTCTTAGTTTAATCCCAGTTTGGTCTCAGTTTATTATCAGATGGTTCTTAGTTTAATCCCAGTTTGGTCTCAGTTTATTATCAGATGGTTCTTAGTTTAATCTCAGTTTAATATCATATTAGTCTCAGTATATTATCAGTTTAATCTCAGTTTAGTCTCAGTTTATTATAATTTTAATCTAGTTTGGTCTCAGATAATTCTCTGTTTAATCTCAGTTTAGTCTCAATTTAATCTCAGTTTAATTTCAGTTTAGTCTCAGTTTACTCTCAGTTTAATTTCAGTCTAATCACAGTTTAATCTCAGTTTATTATCAGTTTAATTTTAGTTTATTCTCAGTTAGTCTCAGTAATCTCAGTTTATTTTCAGACTTTTCTGAACACCAGATTCTGTTTCATATTTTCACAAATTGTCAAAAACTTCCAGAATCATGATTTTTAGTTTTTCTGACTTAAAGAAACTGAGAAGAGATTCAGACCGGTTCTAGAGGGATCCAAATTTGGTCCAGAACCTCTAGCTCCTGCTCTTCATCATCACCTTTTGGCACAGATTTCCATTTCTACGAAACCAAACCTTTAATACGATTCATCTTTGCCTTCTCGCTCACCTCGGGGTGTTGACCCAGACAATGCCGATGTGACAGAAAAAAATGCACTCCTGGTCTTTCTGGTTCTCACAGGAGCAGCGCTTCTCCCGCCGGTGGGCCATGTGGGGGAGCTGCACGAGGGGGCCTTCCTCCACCATGGGGCCCTCCTCCACCATGGGGCTCATAACAGTAGCTGGTAAATACATAAACAGAAGGGATTATTTACAATCTGTTAAATAACAGTCTGGCTCATCCCCCTCCCTCTTAAGCCTCTCCCAACTAAAAAAGAGCCATCATAAATAGAAATTATTCAGGAGACAAAAACTTTAGCTTTTTTTTTTCTCAGTTTTTGCCTTTGCCATTTAAAATACAACAAAACAAACAAACAAATTTTAGATAATTTTTAGCTACGGAGACTCAAACAGAATGAAGTGAAAAAACTGCATTTAACTTTTTGGAGTGTGGTTTTTGTAGCTTTGACCACAAAAACTCAGAGTCTACACCTGATCTGACACACATATCAAAACCAGCATCCTAATCCAATAAACCCAGCAGAACCCACAGATGGGCTTTGATGTTGCTTACAGCGCACACAGGAATGTTTGGTCATCTAAAGTGGGTTTTACACGACTCCCAGGGAACAAAATAACACCTCATCTCACCAGAAACAGTGTTTATGATCCTGTCTTCCAGAAAATCAAATATCTGAGGCTGGTTTTCATTTTAAGGCTCCAAGGAAGTTAGTAGTTTGACCAAAGCTAAAAAAGGAAACACTTTCAAAACTCGTCCTTTTTATTTTTAGACATATTTAATGAGTTTTCACCAGCGTTTAAAGACAAGCAAAAGTATATTTAACCCTGGAGCCAGAGTGAGGCGGTGGTTAAGATGTCTCCTCTGGGATCCTGAGGACTTTCAGGACCAACAAGAGACCAGAGTCTATCGACTGAATAAAACCAGCTGCTGATCCGACCCAGAGATGAACAAAGGAATCTACAGATGCTGCCACCCCTAACCAGAACAGAATCTCTGGCTTCAACCAGAACAAACAAATTTAAAGTCAGGATTTAATCTCAGAATAAACACAAGGTGTCCGAACCAACAGCCCTGTGGGACCCCACAGAATGACCTCAGTTTTAAAGGCACAGTGTGTAGGATTTGTTGTTTTCAGCGACATCTAGTGGTTGAGTGGTTGAATCATCCTTCCTGGTACTCCCCCCACCCCACCCCCCACTTCCAAACGCAAAGGAGTTGCTACGGTGTCTCTCAAGTGTCAAAAACCTTTGATAATTCCAACCGCGATGTCTACCAGCAGCTTCAGGGCTAGTGATGTTTCAAGTGGTAAGATTATGAGCTTTAATAAGTAAAATTATCCCAGCTACAATGATAGACAACAAATATTACATTTATAGTATTACAACTAAAACCGTTTTTGACGCCGCCACCGCAGTTTGTCCTTCATGAGCCTTCCTAGACAAGATGGCGGCTGACTGTTGTGGCGACCCGCGACCATGGAGATATAAACAGCTTTTTATAAGGTAAAAATAATAAAACAAGGTCTTTGTCTGCAATGATTAGACATGTTTTTATTATTGTCATTAGTGATTATCTCAATTTCAGATAAAAGAATTGACAAAATCCTACACACTGTGCCTTTAAACCAGAGGCCTCGTGAGTTTTTAACCTGCTGGCACTTTGGTTAAAGGAGCTGGTTTAAGTCCCGCTGAAGGTCTGGACCTGCAGAAACTTCAATCTGGTTTCTTTTACCAATAAATCATTAACTAAAAACTGAGCTTACTTTGATTTTAAATATTAAATTTGTTTTAATGAGTCAATAAATAACAGTTTGATTGTTTTGTTACTTTAAATTTCATTTTCATCTTGGCAGAAACCTGAAGACGTTTACTCTCAGCAGCTTTAGTTTATTTAAGTTTCACTAAACAGAAGATAATGAAGAAATAATGAAGCTACTGTTGACCTGTGGGTCAGGTCCAGTAAACATGATGTTAGCGCAAAGTTTTATGAATTTCAGCTTGTCTAAGGTAGAAATATTCTGACATGATGTCAGGCATGTAAGAAAAATAAAAACATTCCTGGAGTGAGCCCGGTTCTGAGGACACTGATCATTACAAGCTTCAAGTGTGACCCAGACTTCCTGGGTTCAGCAGGATCAGGTTTCTGTTTGAAGAAGGAGCTAAAGAGCAGCTAAAGATCCGAAGAGATGAAATTTAATTTGAGGAGATTTTTCTCATTTTAAAACTCCGTCACAGTCGCTCCTTATCCAAAGATTGTCTTTAGAACCAAACTTCCTGACCTCCCAAACAGTTTTCACAGAACCTTTCCAAGCCAAACCCAACGGAGGAGTTCTGTTTAGAGTCAGTGGCTCTGATTGGACCTCCTGTTTTTACTGAACACTTCAGCTCATTTCCTGCAGAGGATTGAAACCTGTGAAAATAAACAAGCTGCAAACCTCTGAACCTGAGACGGACCTTTATGTTCCTTCATCAGAACTGACTCCCAGAAGAACCAACTAGAACAGAACCACCTAACACAGAACCATCTAGACCAGAACCATCTAACACCAGAACCATCTAGACCAGAACCATCTAACACCAGAACTATCTAGACCAGAACCATCTAAAACCAGAACCTTCTAAACCAGAACCATCTAAAACTAGAGTCATCTAACGCCAGAACCATCTAGACCAGAACCATTTAACACCAGAACCACCTAACAGAAACACCATCCATCCATCCATCCGTCCATCCATCCATCCATCCATCCACCCACTTATACAATCCATCCATCCATCTACTTCTACAATCCATCCATCCATCCATCCATCCATCCATCCATCTACGTATACCATCCATCCATCCATCCATCCATCCATCCATCCATCCATCCACTTATAAAATCCATCCATCCACCCATCCATCCACTCATAAAATCCATCCATCCATCCATCCATCCAATCTATCTATCTATCTATCTATCTACTTATACAATCCATCCATCATCCATCTACTTCTTCCATCCATCCATCCATCCATCCATCCATCCATCCATCCATCCATCCATCCATCCATCCATCCACTTATACAATCTATCTATCCATCTATCTATCAGGGGCGGCTGTGGCGGAGTGGTTAGGTGAGTCGTCCTGGAACCAGAAGGTCGCTGGTTCGATCCCCCGTCCAGCCGTCTCAGTCGTTGTGTCCTTGGGCAAGACACTTCACCCACCTTGCCTACTGATGGTGGTCAGAGGGTCCGGTGGCGCCGATGTATGGCAGCCCCACCTCTGTCAGTGTGCCCCAGGGCAGCTGTGGCTACAGTGTAGTTTGCCATCATCAGTGTGTGAATGGGTGAATGTCTGTTAGTGTAAAGCGCTTTGGGGTCCGGAGGGACTTGAAAAGCGCTCTATAAGTTCAGTACCATCCATCCATCCATCTACATATGTACCATCCATCCATCCATTTACATATACCATCCATCCATCCATCCATCTACTTATACAATCCATCCATCCATCCATCCATCCATCCATCCATCTACATATACCATCCATCCATCCATCCACATATACCATCCATCCATCCATCCATCCATATACTGTATACCATCCATCCATCCATCCATCCATCCATCTACTTATACAATCCATCCATCCATCTACTTATACAATCCATCCATCCATCATCCATCCATCCATCCTCTTAGCTCTAGCATTTGGTTCCTTCAGTCCAGGTAATCCTATCAGCACAGGTGAGGGTTAAACCAAGTGGACCAGTAAATCATCTTTTTTTTCCTTCTGCACCACAACAGACTGGAGCAACACCCTCATTACTGCAGACAAGACCTCTCCGATTCAGAACTCCTCTGTTTGAGACAGAAACTCATCCTGACCCAGAAGGAACAGTGAACCCTGACCTCAGACTTACAGTAGCTGACCCTAAACCTCCCCTCTGGACTCTGAAGGTCATAGTCCCAGGACTCCAACAGAACCACATCATCTACAAACAGCACCACAGAACCCTGCTGTGTTTAACCACACCACACAGCAGTCTATGCTGCAGTGGAAACAGGATCAACTGCTCTGTACTGAGCTCTGAGTGTTTGTGGGTCTCAGACCAAACTGTAACTCAACAAATCCTCAAAAGATCCTCACTAGAATCAAGCATGAGTCAAACTTCCTCCTACATCTTCTAGTATTTCCAACAGACTGTCTGCTGTAGAACGCTAGAGGCAGGAAAACCACATTTATGATGATTTAAACTTGTTTAAAGCTCATTTAAGGATCGTTTTAGAACCTTTGAAGTTCTCATTTTCAGACCTGATCTGAGGAAACTGGAGACCTCGTCCTGATCGTAAAGTTTCATCTCCAAATACCAGAAGTGAAACTTTTATTATTCATCTCATTTGCCACATCTGCGGCATCGTTTCCACGTTCTGCACAAGTTCCAACACAGACCTGGACCTGGACCTGAGCCAGTCTGCCTTCACACACAGAAGAGCTGACATCAGACTCCATGCTGAAAGCTGGTTCTTCATTGTTTCCCTGCTTCAGGCCATGAGTCATGTTTCATGGATGCACCGGTTCAGTCTTTACTTCCTCTCCTATAATTTGCTTTCAGTGCTCTGTGGTTTCAGAGCGCCTGTCTTCATAAAGTCGATGCACGAATCTGTGCAACCGTCGCTGTTCGTTTACACGTGTGTCTGCAGAACACACACACAAAAAAAATGTGGTTAAAGCCCAAGGCCAGACCACGGTTCAGGCTCCTGCTCCACGTGGAGCCGTCCAAACCAAAGAGAGTCCTGACAGGATCTCTTTGCTTTCGCTAGATTTACTGTCGCCACAGCTAATCAAGCTCAGCAAACACAAAAACAGCTAAAACTCTGTCAGGTTCCTAATTATTGAGCTAAAGTTGCAGCTTGGCGGGCGACGTGCATCCCTGTCCGTTTTATCACAGGTAGGTCTGCTGACGGCCAGTCAGTTGTTTGGACCATCAGGAGCCGGAATTTCTCAGATTCCAGAAGCTTCAGTTGTTTTATTGTTTTCTTGGTGTTTCTCAGCGTGAATAAAGCCACAGAACAGAACTGTTAGTTTTCTGTTGACAGTTTTATGAAAACACTGCGGCTGCTGTCAAGAGTTTCTGTGTTTTTAGCTCAGGTTAGTTTGGAGGGAAGAAACGGAG